CGTCACCGGGCAGGAGGCAGCGGGTCCAGGCACGCACACGTTATACATTAACCACGGGAAAGACACCTCGGGGGTGTCCGTCTGCACCACTCTCACAGGGCTGCGGGGGGAGAAACGCTGATCCTGATCCACTTCTACCAACCTGGCCTTTTGCTGGGCACTGCTGGTTGCTGAGGTGGTGCAGGAAGGCAAATACCTTGTAAAGGCTCCACTAAAAGCTTCAGCAAACCGGCTTGACGTCAACTCGCATCAGGGCTCTGGAAGTGCAGCCCAATGCCAGGCTGGGGCTCCTGTGACCTGCCTGCCAGGGAGCGTGGAAAGCAGCCACCTGCACGTGTGGAGAACCGAGAGCAGCAGCAAGAGCAGGAGAGGAGGGACGGGAGACCCAGCCACGATACTCCTGGAGCTGGAGAAGAGCAGCACTGCTTGCTAGGACACCCCGGCTGCCTTACCCTGCAAGCACAGCACACACGCAGCCATCACCACTTTTCTCAGCCTGACCCGAAAAAGAGGAAGAAGAGGAGACAGGACCTCAGCCAGCAATTTCCTCAACTAAAGGGGAAGAGGCAGCGATTTACGTCCAAGGAGGAAGGACTGTTGATGCAAGGGGAGAGTAAACCAGACAACCCTGCCCTGAGGGAGCACGAGACCCGTCAGGAGTCCAGGAGAAGAGGGGATGCACCCCAAGGCCAAGAGCGCAAAGGGATCACTCTGGAATCAAGCAAGCCCTGCGCCTTTAACCGCAGTTTTAATCCCAAACGTCAGAGCCAGCCATGCCAAGGCACAGGGAGCAGGACAGGGGAGGCTCCATCCTCCTCAGGCCCTACCAAACATCCACGCTCAGCGACACGGGCAGAACTTGCCGGCTCCTGTTGGGTGAGAGACAGCACAGGCTGCCAGGCACAAACACACAGATTCCAAACGTGCGACAACAGTCTGGAGAATCTCAGCCAGAATTATGCAACTTTTCTTTCTCTTTTTCTATTTTTTTTTTTGGAAAAGAGTTATTGGACTGTCACCCTGGGGTGCAATGCAGCGTTACAGCGACGGGACACGGCCCGATGAAGCAACACGGAGGAATGCGAGCGAGAGGACGGGCTGACTCTGCTCGGGATTTTGGCTCAGCACATTTCCCAGCAGTGGGCAACCACCTGTCTTTGCAAACGTGATCACTGGCCGCACAGGGGCAGGACGGGTGACCTTTGCAGAGGAGCCTCGGTGAC